TGTTTTTGTATGACAACCCAGTGACAAGGATGCTTGCAGCGCCAGCACAATATTATGACTTCACGTGCGCCATTGAGTTTAGATTTGTGAAAATTTACAAATTTGCTCTGTTCGAGTGTTGTCATTGTGTTAGAGAGAGTAAATGTCATGAATAAATTTGACATTATACATAATCCAAGTTGAATTGTTACATAATTTTCAGCCCCCTTTTTGGTTCTGCATTTGGCAGCAGGTCAAATTGACAAAGACCGTGCAGAATAATGTAGTATTTTAATTCCACAGCAGAGAAAGCTATGTAGTCTCTGTAAGTATGGTAGGTCTAGGGAAAAAAATATTGGTATTGTATCCGTTATCGGCCAAATAAGTTTTAACATATCGGATATCGGCCAAAAATCCAATATTGTGCATCCCTAATCTGTATGATAATGTCACCACAGATCATGCTGAAAGTCTGGTGCATCTGGAGTGTGAAATTTCCGTGTGTGCTAGTCCCACACAAAAATAAGAAACTCAGAATGACAATTTTAAACGGCTTTTTGGGTGAATTTAGTGATGTGTTTAATATGTCTCTCTCCACCCCTAGCTGGGACAGAAACAAAAGGAGCTCGACCGACTAAAAGAGCAGAACAAACTTTTAAAAGACCAACTGAAAGATGCATTGGGGAGAGAGCAAAATGCCAGAGAGGGCTATGTCCTGCAGGTAAGATACTCACCATATTTTGACATATGTGCTGATTGCACCTGGTGTCAAAGTACATTATTTCAACTCTTAATTACATCATACATTACTATTCATTAATAATGTAGTAATGTAAAGCTAATGGTCAAATGATACGTTTCTTTGTAAAATAATCCAAAGCTGTTTTTGTTATGAAGTGCTGTTCGATAGATCAGATTTGTTGCGGTGACTATAATTCTTCAAAAATCCTACTAACAGGTGTTGGTGCTTATTCTCTTAAACTGAAATGCATGGTTGTGGTGTTTATAGCATGAGTTTTCATTAACTTGTGATGGAGTTTCACATCTCCTGGGAAAATAACTGATTTGATCTGTTGAGTTTGAGGTAAGAAACTTGATCAAAAAGCCTTGTGCTGTGCTTTTTCTTTCCGTTTGTGTGACTCTTCCCCCTTTGGTTTCTGCATGCTTTCTGTTTCAGAACTGCATGTTTTAACTACAGCTTTTTTGTGTAGTCTTTTTATAATACAAAGACAACATTTTTATTGTTTTAATATCAAAAATGGGGTAAACACTATAAGGATTTTTTGTTTTATTTGCTTTTTTATTGGAGGTGTTTTCACATTTTTTGGTTCGTTTTGACCCCTGAAAAAGCACAGTGGAAGCTTGGACAACAAAATCTAAATAAAGAGATTTTAACAAAAGAAAATTTATTTCCCTGGTAATCCCCGAGATGTGGTACTCTTTAAACAGTAGGGAAAGTGAAGTGATGTCACTAACGACCATGTATCATCAATCTTTTCAAGAGTGCAACACCTCCCTCCTCATCACCTCACAGAGCGCCATGGCAACACTTGCACAAGCTGAATCAAGATTTACAGGGGGAGCTTGAGTCCCAAAAGCACAAGCAGGACGTCACTCAGCATCAAATCCGGACTTTAAAGAGAAGCTACACTGAAGCTCAAGGTGCTGTTGACCGCCATGAGGCTGATATTCAGGCTCTGCAGACTAAACTTGCATCTGCTATGGCTGAAATCTTGGCTAGTGAACAGGCTGTGGTTCGAATGCGCAACGAACTCAAGCTGGAGCAGGAGCGTTCAAAAGAGCAGGAAGAGGAATATGGACGCAACGAGGCCACCCTACGAGCCCAGTTGAAGGATAGTGAGGACAGACTCGGTGAAATTGAGGCCAGTCTCTTGGAAAGAAATCAGGCTCTAAGGCACCTGGAGCACCAGCAAGCCTTGCAACGAGACCACAAGAAAGAGATACAAAGGTTGCAGGAAAGGCTGCAGGAGGTAACTGCTCGACTACTTGCTACTGAAGAGGGCCAGGCGCTAAAGGAGGAGCGCCTCAGAATTGAGCAATTCAGCATGCAAGAGAGTCATGAGAAGGAAAGACAGAATCTGAGTAGAAGGTTGGCTGAGGCAGAAACTTCACAGAAGGAAGTAGAAGACAAACTGTTTGAGGCTGAACAACAAGTTGAAGCCTTGTTGAGGGGGAGACGGACCTCAGGTGGAAAAGAGTACAAGGAGGAAATGTTGAAACTTCAGGAGCAGCTGGCTCAAAAGACTGACACAGTCGAGTCGTTGAGGGAAAGTGTGCGGCGGCTAGAGGAAGAAAAAGGCCATCTCACCTGTCGCTGTCAGGAGCTTTTAAACCAGATTGCAGAAGCAGATCGTGAGGTGAACAAGCTTCGTAATCGTCTGGAAACTGAAGAAGCCGATTACTACACCCTGGAGCATTCATATGAGAGGGCTACACAGGAGTTTCAAAAAATGAGCCAGTTTCTTAGAGAAAAAGAAGAAGAAATTCGACTAACTAAAGAGATGTATGAAAGATTAATGGAACAAAAAGAGGGCGATCTGAAAGAGGCTCTTGTCAAAATGACTGCACTTGGCTCCAGCTTGGAGGAAACTGAACAGAAGTTGCAAGCAAAAGAGGAGCTCCTATGTCAAATGAGTCAAAGTCTCATCAATAAAGCTGAGCCCTGCAAAGCTCAAAAAGATCTGCAAGCCAAGCTCGTGGTGGCAGAGGACCGCATTGCAGAACTAGAGCAGCATCTCAATGCTCTCCAGCTTGGATATGCTGACTTTTGTGTGGAGATGGATCAAATCCCAGAACCTGATAAGAAGGGAGAAATTAATACATCAAATATTGAGTTTTCTTTAAATGAAGACTCCAAGACGGAGAACTCCTCAGATAAGGATTCTCAAGCCAAGAGACCAAAAATACGTTTTGCCAATATTCAGTGCCAAAAATATATCAGTCCTGAAGACATGGACAGTAGCCATGAGAGCAGCCAGTTAGTTGAAGAACAACACAGTAACCACACTGTTAACGTGGACCTCCAGCTAACTGAAGGAAACATTTCTCCACATTCTAGCGACCCAGAAAAGTTTATTTCCATCATACATACTCTAGAAACTAAACTTCTTGCCACTGAGGAAAAGCTGAGAAATCTTACGCAGAATTTAGACGTGCAGCAATTTGCTCAAGCTGATGAGATGTCCAGGTCCGATTTAAATATGTCAGAAAACAAGCCTTGTACAGAGGAAGCGATTAGTGGTTCTGCTCTTCAGGATTATACCAAGGCCTTGGTGTGCGTTGAAAACGGCCGAGAGAAAGTAAGGACACTGCTCACCGGCTCCTATGGTACGACTGATTCACAGCTGCACTCACTGTCAAAGATAGAAAATGATTTGTTCAATGCGTCTCTGCACATCCGACAAGGCCAAAAGACGTTGGAAGAGCAGTCACCAGTTATCCATCATAATCAACTCCCAGAGACGGGAGACAGTGATGCGCTGCTCCTTTTTGCCAAAACGCTGTCTTTTGAAGCAGTGGTTTTGAACAAGATGGCTTTGTTAATACAAACTTCAAAGTCTGACCTCCAGAAAGCTCTTGTTGAGATATGGGAGGACTTGGAGCACATTAAAAGGAGTGAAAAAGATTGCTTGGCCATAGTTTACGCTGATGTTTTGACCAGGAAGTTGATGTTGGAAAGCACGTTCTGGAAGGATGTGGAGAGAGCTGAGACAGATGTGGCTTCATTTCAACAGAGCAATGAATCTGTTGATGTGGACGTTGATGCCACTTCGGTCTTCAACACCTTCCTTAAAGCAGAACTGGCTTACTCAATTCAATACCTTAAAGTTGGCTATGAAGAGAAATTTGAAGCGCTGAAAATGGAGTTGACTGAAGCCCATAATAAGCTGTATCAAAGAGAAATGGCTCTGATAGAAATTATTGATGCTTCTAAAAGGCCTGAATTGAAAACCGTGATCAAGAAGGTCAAAAGTAATCTTGGGATTGGTAAACAACAGTTAGCTGACATTCACCCTCCTGAACTCGCTCCCTACATGGAACAGATCGAACAGGAAGAAGCTAGAGAGTTGGCTGAGGAAATTGTGGACAAACACTTGGCCAGTGTCACGTCCTCTTGTGGTGTTGAGTCTATTGAATCATTTCAAAGCGCCCATGAAAACTTGGCTAACGAGCTTCAAAGGCAAGCTGCAGTGTTGCACAAATATGCTCAAGAGTTAGAAAGCAGTGAAAGCCATCCTGCACTTTCTAAAATGATCCATACAGTTTTAGGGCACCAGACATCACACGGTTTGACAAGCACCTCTCTGTGTATGCGTGAAGCCCTTATACAGGCTCAAGTGGCTTATGTAGCATGTAGGTTACGCGCCATGCATGAGCAAGAGTTGAGTTTGTGTAAGCAGACCAGTCAGCACATGGAAGCTCTGGTGCAGCAGCATGCCTGCAATGTCACAGCAATCCAAGAAAAATATGAAGGCTCTTTACAAGAGCAGCGTGAGAACTTCGCCCAAACGGTGGCCTCACTCCAGCAGGAGAATCAGACGATGAAAAGTGAGATCAGTAAACGTGTAAACCAGCTCTCCCAGCAGAAAGAGCAAGTAGTCCTTCTGGAGGATCGTTTCCAGAGGGAGACTGAAGACCTGAAGCAGAGATATGAGAACGAGCTCAGCCAGGCAGAGCAAAGTCACGCCTCCACAGAGCTGGCCCTCATGGAGACAGCAGCCGACAGTCAGCGAAAGCTTGAGCTTCTGCTGGTGGACATGGACAGCATGGAAGAGCACCACACAAGTCACATGAAGAAACTACAGGAGCAGTTTGAAGAGAAGATCTGCGAACTTCATCAAATCCACAAACAGGAGGTTGATAAATTACATTCACAGTACGTGGAAAGCATTCAGCGTGCCAAAAAAAGTTCTGAGGTCTTTGATTCGCCCTCCTGTGAGGAGGTTGCAACACCAATGGAAGAGGAGGTGGAAGACATGTCAGAGGTGGACTCCATGGTGGTTCTGAAAGACCGCATCCAGGAGCTGGAGACTCAGATGAATAGCATGAAGGATGAGCTGGAGAACAAGCACCTTGAAGGAGATGTGGCCAGCCTGAGAGAGAAATACCAAAGAGACTTTGAAAGTCTTAAGGTTCTTGTTTTTTCATTTTTATCTTGGTGGGTTAATTTATTTAGACAAGAGAGTAGAAATAGTTCAATATAGCAAAATATATTTTACTTTGGATTAGGGAAATGGTTTGATTTAAACAAAAAAATATTTAACAACATATTAGATTTTTAAATTGTATTACATGTTTGTTTTAAAACAAAAACATTTTCTAACTTTTATAGACAGTGTGGTGAGTATTCGGACAAGGCAATGACTAGGGATGCACAATATTGGATTTTTGGCCAATATCCGATAAAACGTATTTGGCCAATAACTGTTACCGATATTTTATATACTTTCCTTTGTCAGAACATAGCCCTCTCTCTTATTTAGACTTATTTGCTACAAAAATTGTGCAACAGCTGTAAGAGCTGGTGACATTTATTCAGTAACAGCCATATGATATGCATAGCACTTTAACTTATATTAAATGAAAAGTGTTAAATATTATTTATTTGCATTAGTCACCTGCGATGCTGTCTCACTTGTGGAGGCTTGTTCCAGGTTCCTAGCTGCAGCGTGGGATCCTCTGCACTCTTGTGCATGAAGGGCAGCCTTTTTAAGTTCAAAGTTTTTGTCTATCCATTGTGCCGTAAGCCTAATCATGCTAACGGGGCTAACACGACATCCATATGTCTGTGGTCAAACTCACCCAAGTGCTATCGGCTTTTAGCTTCTCAATGACGTCAGAAATGACGGCTTGTAACTTGGGTAAGGCAACGTTGGAAAAATATCTCCGACTGGGGACGATGTAGCGAGGTCCAAAAATAGTAGTCCAAAAATCGTCAGAATCCGACATCCTCAACGGAAAAAAAAAAAACTTCCACACCGCCGACATTTTGACTTCTTCCTCTCCACCGTGATCAGATCAGTTAGGCGTGCGTGACGTCATCACGTTGTGCTGGCACTGCAGGCATCCTTGTCACTGGGTTGTCGTACACAAACATTGTCTTTTATATCGGTGAGTTATTTTGATGGAATGGCCGATGTCCGATATTTAAATTTAAAGCTAATATCGCCGATATCATACCGATAATATCGTGCATCCCTAGCAACGACTCATAAATCAGTTCAAGGATTAAAGTTCTTTGTCATTCTCATTGCATGTGGTACATGAAGTGGAACAAAATTAATTATTTAATCCCAGTTACATCAGACAATAGCAAAAATATAAAGTGTAAAAAGAAACAGTAATTAAGGATCTAAGAAATCAACTAAGATATACATTAAACAAACGCTCAGCGATACTCTAAAAGATCTAAGATATACGCTAAACACTAATAGTGCAAAACAATACACCAAAGAACAGCAGCACGATTTTCATAGGTTCAGTTTGGCTATAAATTACACGCTTAATGCGAGTGAAGTCGGGCTCGGAGCCCCAAAACTAACATAAACTGGGATTTATTCAAAGCATGCAACAACACTACAGAATAAGGAAATGCATATAGTCATAAAAGTTACATTTTAAAATTTGAGTTTAAAGAATTTAATTAGACTTTTTATCTCAGTTTGTATTGGATGTCATTCTTTGAAATGGTCAGTAAAATCATACCATTTTCTTTATCCATTGGCAGAGTTAAATATATATGTTTTTATTCCAATTAAACTCTTGTGAACAGCAGCTTCACTTCTTTAACCTGCTTCTCTAACATAGCTGGGCTTTAGATCATGAAAACTGTTTTGGCTTCTGTCACTAACTTTGGTTTCCAACCTTCTGAGCTAATTGTAGATATTGCACCTAACGTGTAGTCACAAGTAAAAAAAAAAGGCATGTTTGTTTTTATTTTTAAACGATCAAGTTGACCTTTTCTTTTTCTAGGCCACATGTGAGCGTGGTTTTGCTGCAATGGAAGACACCCATCAAAAGGTCATAGAAGACCTCCAGAGGCAGCATCAGAGGGAAATTTCCAAACTACTGGAGGAACGAGAAAGACTGTTGGCTGAAGAGACCGCTGCCACTATTGCTGGTAAGTAAACCATCCTACCAAAAATTCCTATTCAGGCTTAAATGCAGTAAAACCAATAATTGTTACATGGGATTTTATTTTCATTTAGCTATTGAAGCCATGAAGAATGCACACAAGGAGGAACTGGAGAAGACCCAGCGTTCTCAACTGAGCGGTCTGAACTCAGACATCGATGAGCTCCGCTTACAATACGAGTATGATTTATGACACGGACACTAAGGAAGTTTTAACACTGTGTAGGAGAAACACAAGACGTCAAAGAAAAGTCTTTGTTTTATTTTGATTTAACATTTTGCTTTAAAGAAAGCAAGTAACCAGAGCACGCAGAGGTGAAATTTAAACGTCCGATTCAAAATGTTCTGCCCCGGCTGCAGTCAAGTGGTCACGTGCAAACACGTGCAGAAAAATATATCTATTTACTACATGCTGTGATCTTTATAGGGAGGTGGGTGGTTCTTGGGAGGGCAGGCCGCCCTCCTTGGATACTGGTTGAAGAAACGCTGCAGTTTTTAGCTGATTGTTGCATTTCTTAAAGTTATGTAACCAGATAAGAAACCATGAGCAAAAGTGGAAACCCCCGACCTTACATTAGTTCTACTTTTCAACTCTAGTGAATATCAATATGTGCACGCAGTGTAAGAGATCTGCTCATCCTAATCACCCCATGTTTAGGGAGGACCTGCAGTCCATCCATAGAGAACTGGAGGTGTTGTCAGAGCAGTATTCTCAGAAATGTCTGGAGAACGCTCACCTGGCTCAGGCGCTGGAGGCGGAGCGGCAAGCCCTCAGGCAGTGTCGGAGAGAGAACCAGGAGCTGAATGCTCACAACCAGGTCAGCGTGCACATCCCTGCAATCTGAGCCTGCGCTGTAGGTTCAAATGCACTTCTGTTCACCAGCAGCTCTCTGTCCATCAGGAGTTAAACAACAGGCTGTCTGCAGAAATCACTCGGATGCGCTCCTGTTTCAGCGGTGAAACCGCTCTTTCACCACTTACCCGAGGCAAAGACGTGTATGAATTGGAGGTGTGTGTGTAAACCTAAAAATGCATACTTTAACACACAAACAATGAACTTACGAATCTAAGATTTGCTCAATATTTTCCAGGTGCTGCTACGAATAAAAGAGTCAGAGATTCAGTATCTCAAACAGGAAATCCACTCTTTAAAGGATGAGCTGCATTCTGCTTTAAGGGTAAGCAGTACCACTGTTTTTTAAGGTATTGATTTGTAATTTACAATTAATACATTTACTACTGTGCAAACATTTTACCAGGACAAGAAATACGCCACAGACAAGTACAAAGATATCTATACGGAGCTGAGCATTGTGAAGGCGAAGGCCGACTGTGACATCAGCAAACTGAAGGAGAAGCTGCTCATGGCCACAGAAGCTCTAGGAGAAAGAGCCGTCGATGATTCTGTTACGTCCGGATACGGTCAGTTAAATATATATATTTATTTATTTATTTTATTCTCATTTGCTCTCTTATTCTTTATATCACAAAGCCATACTGCATGTTCAGTCAAATCTGTTCCCAGTATTGCAGCCAAGAAGAATATGAAACTTTATTTGGACACATTTGTTGAAATTATTTGGTTTTGTGCACTGGGTCAATTTATTTATTTATTTAACTTTTCTTTTTTTACTGAGATAGATCTTGTTGAGATTATCCGTTTTCCAAACGAGACCTTGTCAAGAATTCCAGTAGTGTACAAACATTTCAAAACATAAAAACCACAGGAATCAACAATGAAATACAACGTGATATATGACAAATATAAAATAAGCAAGTCAGATAAAACACTCAGAAAAGCTAAGAACTATTAACTCATTTAAACGTTTACAATCAGATGCCTCATACTGAAAATCTTTAACAAAAACAGGGTTAAAGCAAAGAGACCAGCTGCATCAGCCTAAAGTCTTTCTGCAGTTGATTCCAGTCTAAAGGAGATTTTTACCCAAGACTGGGTAAAAACGTGAGGCAAGTGGGAAGATCTATCCGTCCGTCCATCTGTCAGTCGGTCAACTCTTCAGTCAGTCAGTAAATTTGTGCGTCTTCCCTCTGTCTCATGTTTTGAAGTCAGGTTCGGGGAGGACAGCAGCTTGAATAGGGAGGCCCAGACATCTCTTTCCACAGGCACTGTGTCCATGTTGGTTGAGAGCTTTGAATGACTTGTATCTCCATATATAGACTTTATGGTCTTCCAGAGCTTCTAGAGGTTATTTAGGTGTTTGGATGCGTTGGACAACAAAATGCTGATCTTTTGAAGTTGCCAAAGTTGGATCTAGTTTGTTGTTGGTACACATGAATTGAGTTTAATGTTAAGGACCTGGTTTTTGTGTGTTTTAGATATCATGAAATCAAAAAGTAATCCAGATTTTATGAAAAACGAAAAATCCACAACCTCCAGGCAGCTGAGAACTGTAAGGTCAAAGGTGAGTGTCGTTTTGATTGATAATATAAATTGTGTAAAGTTTTCTGTGTTTACTGTCAACATTGTTCCTCCTCGTTGTGTAGAAATCTGATTCACACTTGCTGCTTAGGAGTTGTTGTTTTTACCACAAAGTGTCAGGTGCTGTAAGTTTGTCCTGTGTCTGTTTTGTCCATCAGTCTGTCATTGACCAGGTGTTGGATAGCTGACAGTCCTAATGTGGGGTGATTTCCCCACCCCCACCTCGAGATGAGCTGTAAGTACAGCATGATGTAGACCAAAGCATGTCACCTATTCCTGCATGATTCCTCCTCTTTCACTCTTTTGCACGACCACAAGTTAAATATTCCAGCTCTGGGAGGTGTCATTCATCTGAAGCACTTTCCTATATTTCTCTCCTACTATGAGATCTGGGGAGTGGTTTTCACGCTGTTGTAGAATAATCTTGTGTATTGCATCGAGGTGGTTGAACATCATCTTTTTCATTAGTTCCTCTGTGTCTGAGCTTTTAGCTTCTTTTGTTTCTACTTTTACATTTGGCACGCCTGTGAGGTCTATTGTGCAGCATGACCATTCTCTAAAATGTATCTGTACGTGTTTTTATTTTTACATGAATCATCCACACTACTCCAGATACTTTTGCTGTGTTTGCAACTCTTGTCAACATGGCAACAAATTTGATAATTCAGAATTTTGAAAAACTTTTCTTTAATCAATAAACTTACAGGTAGTTGAAGAAACGGTGACCTAGCTGTACATTTTGTCCTGATCATGCGTTATTAAACTCGACTTGTGTGCTGAGAAAGTTAACAGAGAGAATATTAACCGTTGGTAAACGTGAATGATTTGGTGATTAACAGGCTCTGAGAACTTGAGGAAGTAATTAAATCACTGAATCAGGTGTGTCGAAGCAGAGAAATGGCCAAAACATACAGGGTGGTGTTCCTCAGGGACCAGGGTTGGGAACCACTGGTTTAGAATAATGTTTTCCCAAGCTAAGACTTTTCTCTCTTGGTTCATGTTGACGTTCTTGCCACCTATTGCTGTGGGTGTATCAGTGTTTTTGTTCGAATATTTTGGAACAACAAAAATTATAAGTGGAGGTTTTTCTTTGTTATTATCAATATCTAGAGTAGTGGAGAAGGGAGGCTTAACGTGTCAACTAGGGAAGAAAAAAGCATGATTTTATTTGTTTTGTCTGTTCTCTGTCCTGTGATGTCCGTTATCATCTAGTAATCTTTTTTTTATATCCCTTCTCTTTTTATACAGAGCCTTAAGGAGGGACTAACCGTGCAGGAGCGCATGAAGCTTTTCGAGGCAAAAGACTCCAGAAAGATTTAAATATCAGTGAAAGAGAAGCCTCCTCTCACTTTTTATTTGATTTCATGGAAAAGTTCAGAACTGGACCCTCTGATTCCATTCCTCTCAGCTGTCATTATAACGTTTGACTTGACTGAATTTACAGAATGAATCCTGTAAGTTTTGTTTTTACACATTACAGTGAATCAAACTGGAGGGATTTTTAATGAGTTTCTTTTAATCCTCATAATACTAAAACTCACAGCAATACACAGTATGAACAGTATATATTTCCTTGTACAATTAGATTTCTGCTGTACTATATTCTTGTTACAGTGTTTTATATTTAGTGATTTTTATGTGTTTTATTGATGCACCAGTTGAGTTGTATATAACTACTGGATTTACTTAGAGTGGAGTTTGTTAGTGATGTTGGGGGCATCTGCTGTATTATAACAAAGGTTTGAGTGATGATGGTGTGGTCGTGTTTGTGTCTGGGAGTTTTCCAGAGAAGTGTGTCCGTGTGTGAAGGGTGTCAAATTGGGTGGGGAGGGTGAGATTGCACTTACTTGACTACTTAAGGAAGCTTGTTTTCAGTTTAAAATTAGTGGAGTAACAAAGTCAGTTTTTGCAGTGCAACCAAACATTGAAACTCGTATTATTCAGTGAACGGTGTTTTCTTGTTTGTGATGCTGAATATCTTACTTCTTTATAAAATAAAGTTCTTAAAGCTGGTTTTGTTTAATGTGAGGAAATTATCTTAGCGAAACCTTTTAGGTCCGTGCATGACTGTACAGCATAATTTAAATAGCAGAATGATTCTCTCGTTTGTTTTCCTATTTTATGCTTTAGTGTGAAACTTTTAACATTAATAAGCTTTACTTTGCAGATCCTACTGTAGATGTTTATTAAGATTGAAATGTTTTACTGTATGCAGCAGTCTGGAAGCACTTGGCCCAGTCCTGAACATCTCTCTAAATCTGGTCGTTCCTCAACTCTGTGACGAGTAGAAAACATGAAACCTGTGCAGCTATGGATACACACTGTATAGTATTCAAATCACGCCTTGTACATACGAATACGCCACATGGAAGCCTTCTGTGTTTTTGTTCGCTCAACAGCTCTATGAATTATATATAAATGAATATTTTTTATTTCTTTTTGAATGTACAACGTCAAATAAATGAAGTGTTTTAAAATGTCTTCCCCCCCCCCCCCCATTCACTTGCTTTAAGTTTAAAGTTGTACCGCTTTCAAGTTTATTTTATTTATTCTGTTGCAGAGATTTTTATAGCTCTACGAACAACGTGAACTAACCGTGCACGCTAGAAAAAAGGTGCAGTTTAAAGACTGCGAAGATCAGCGGCCCTGTTTAAAAGAAAAATCAGTGTTTGGGAAAAAAAAAAGATAAAAAGTTAAATGCTGTGGTTTGTGCATAATTTGTGAAGGAAATTGTACTAATTTAAAATAGTCATTAACCTGTTTAGCAAATCAAAAAGATTATTTTAAAAAGTGAAAATGAGAAGCCCTGTCAGAATAAATACAATTTAGGGTTTGTGTTGTGAAGGACTCCTCAACAGCCACACCACATTTTATCTCCACATCTGCTAAATTAACTGAATTAATGGAAAAGTTGTGTTTTCAAAGGTCAGTTTGCTGTGGTGGTCATTAATGAATACTTTAACACGTTTTAATAACATCTGTCAAGTGGTTCATGAGATAGTTTGCCAAAGACACAGGTAAAAACAATCATCTGCCTTTTTTGTGAGGAGCAATAACTAACCCTTTTAGGAAGCATTTTGAAGAAAATAAAAATAGATCTGCTTTAGATTACCTTTTGTTTCATATTTGTTGTTTAATATAGCCAATTAACTGAGCCAGCTGCTGCTCTCCTCCCTCTTCCTCCTCATTGTCCGACAAAGCTTCTATCAATCTGACGCAGAAACCACTGGTTCTTGAGCGTTCTCGGGCCACAGCAAATGGGTCTTTCTGTGCACAATCTTGTGGAACCATGTGTAGAGAGACGGGCGGTGCTCGAGGACCTGCAGGAACACCAGCAGGAGGACATCAGAGCAGGGCCGGCCCAAGCCTCCATGGGGCCCTGTGCGAGATTTGGTAATTACTCCAATCAACAGTCAGATGATCAGATCGTTCACCACCTAACATAAACTCACTGCAACTCTGACAGCCCTGTCGACACTATCCTATATGTGCATGGGTGTCAAACTCTTTCATTTTGGGCCACGGCAAGCTCATGAATGTCCTCAATATGCCAGACATGGTAGAATGTATTGCTAAAACTACCTATTAACAAACTGGTAATAAATAACTTTCTCTGCATTTGATGACTACTTCTTAACATTTAATATTTTATGTTTGAGTAATTTGGCATTATAAAAACTGATGTGATTTGACTGATAAAGTAATATTGAAGCGCACAGCTGTTATCTTGAAGTACTGTCTCTGTGGTCCTCTAGGGTGTAGAGAGCCACAGAAATGGTTATGGCGGGCCGGATTTGGCCCACGGGCTTTGAGCTTGACACATGTGATCTAGCTAAAAGTAACAAAAGAAAGAAAAAAATACCAGTATGTATTTTACAGCAAAGGTGTCATCCGGCTGATTGGTTGCAAAGAAGTGCAACAGTAATGTTCAAAATAATTTCTAGTGCAAGATCAACAACAAACAGATAAAATAACTTAGATGCATAAAAATGAATTATGCAAAAACAGACTAAATTAAATTTAAAATAAAAAAAATCAAGAAAGTCTTTAAATGTTAGTGAACAATTATTTGAAACCACATAAAATGGATTAAAATAAAAGAAATTTAAAGTTGAATAATTCTTAAAACTATGTAAACGTATGCAATAAACTGAAAAAATATTAAATAGAATATATAAATCATTACTAAAAATTAAAAAAATTCCACTTTGGGGTGGGGGGTCCTTTTGCTTACGCCTTGGGCCGGCCCTGCATCAGAGTCTCATGCTGGCCAGCTGAAACTCCACAGAGCACCACTGTGCAGGTAGTGGTGAGAGTTGTGGATTGTTGCCAAGTTCTCCAGAACATCTGGATGGAAATATCTGGTGCAGATAGTCTCAGGCTGGGTGCACCAGCAGCTGGTGTCTCAAGGTTGGGCACCAGCTGCCCCATCACACAGTCCTCATCCTTAGAGCTGTAGGAGGTGAATGCTTCATACTGAAAATTGGTCTTTGCTGCTCACCAAGCTTTGCTCTTGATGATGAGCAGCATGTAGCACAGGTGTGTGCCAAGCCCGACACGCACAACATCCTCCAGGTGGCAGGTCTTCTCACTGAACTGCCACAGGTTTGGAAATCTGTTCTTGTCACACTGTACAGGTAGGACACCTGAGGGAGAATTTACCAACAAAGTCAACCCAAATATCCAGCTATGTAAAATGTGACAACCTTTGCAGCATCTGCTAACTGTGCACGTGTGTTGTGCATGGTCCAGGTCTTGAACCAGGAGGCAGTACAAGTGCAGCTTACTGGGTTTTCTGAATCGTCAAAAACTCACGAGCTGAAACCCAAAAAGCAGAAATGATACCCTTATGTTTTAATTCATATAAACAATCTGTCATTTTCATGCTTTTTTAATTTTATTATTTGCATTATATTGTCATGTATCTTATATTTAGCAGATAGGACATGAAGCAAGAGGTTTGACTGCTAAACTCGTGTGCGTCACAAGTTTACATTTACAGAAACGCATCTAATCTTTCAGCTGCTCCTTTCTTCAGGAGTCGCCACAGTGAACTAACTCGCACAAAGACTTGACAATTGATTTTACACCGTATGCCCTTCCTGACACAACCACAGACCGCGAATGGTGGTGGTTTAAGGGCCTTGCTCAAGGGCCCAGTGTGAGGCAAACAAGGGTGGAGACAGATGTCTTTAACGTCGGTGCCACTACTCTCACTATGAACACATCTAATCAATATAAAAATATATATTGTATATTTGTAAGCGTTGCTAAATAAAAATGTTAAATTGTGTCATCTGGATCAGGTTCTTTAAGTGAGAAACGTTTCGTCCCCCATCCAGAGGACTTCCTCAGTCTACGGCCTGCCAACCACATCTGTCCCATAATCCTTCACTGCTGTGTTTACCATGGCCAAAACTGCTGCTGACGTCTTCCTAACTTGTCAGTGTTCCCCAATAACTAGTATTATGCTGTTATTTTTTATAACTTGTGTGATTCCTTGTGTACGTTCCTTCATACTGAAACTCTGGCACAACAATTTCCTGCGTGATCAATAAAGTTCTATCTGATCTTAACAACGTTTAACCATTTTTTCTGATGATTTTTCACTCAATCCATATGACCACAAAGCGTTTGTAATGCAAAACTTCAACAATGTTGTCGGAGAAAAAAGGGGTGGAGCTCCTGTAGGGAGGCGTTTCACTTCCGGGACAAAATGAGATCGCTGATTGGTCAGTTGACAAGCCTACTGAGTTGATCCGATTCATGCAAATAAACCATGGATTTTACTGGCCCATTCAAGACTCTTATCATTTATTATATTTTCATTCCAAATTTATCCAATGTTTTTGTGAATCTAAGGTTTGAGAACGGAGTTTCCTTACACAATCATGTTGATGGTTTATTTTTCAGGAGTGCCCAGTTCAAATTTAGGGGTGCTGGAGCACCCTCAAAAAGAGTATAACATCGCCACTGTGCTGCACTATGTGGCTGTATCATGCACCTTACCATCATAATTCAGTTAATCTCAATGTTACTACATGTGCAATAACATGTCACACAACCTGTGTAGTTTATGTGCATTATATTATGTGCTTTTAAACAATTACCACCTGCTGTGAAATACTTATACTAATTCGTACTACTTGCACTGTTATATTCTACCATGTTCTTTACTATATTTGTTTTGGACCTTGTGAATATTATATTTCTGTTTCATTTTCATGTTTGATACTTTATTTTGTACTATGCTGACCTTGTGTTAACCTGCATATGACAAATAGACAATAACTAATTTCTGTACTTAAGTGGTGCTCAAAACCCAAAACATCTTATGCTCCTTTTGGGAAAGGTGCTGTTTCTGTAGATTCTTATTCTGAGCCTGGTCCTTCCACAAGTCCCCCATCTGAGATGAATACATTTAATTTCATTGGGTTTTGTCAAATTGTCTTTACTTATGGAAACAGTTTCAGCAATGAGTCATAGCAATGCTCATCTGTTTTTGTCCACATGAGGGGGCCATCAGCCTAGATTTCAATGAAGCTATTCACCAGCAGGATATGGGCACCAGTGACCCCCACACCACTAAAGGAAGAAGCGGCTAAAGATAATGAATGGATGGATATCTATCAGCAGTCTACTCACTTGTACAGGATCAGTAAAGATTTTAAGTCAAAACTAGAAGACGTTTTTGGAGCGACAGGCCAAGGAGTTGAGAGCAACAACAGAAGCTGTTCACTCAGTTGTTGCACTATCACAGCTTCTTTTGAATAGAAGCAAAGTTTCTCACATCTTTTCTATAAAAGCGCATAAATGAAACCTGGTCTTGGAGAATTAAAACTAAAGAAGCAAAACAGATTTTTTTTTTTTTTAAAAAGAGGAGGGATGAAAGAGATCTAACAAAAAAGTGATGAGAGACCGTCCAAACAAGTGAAACGGTAAAGTGTGACAAACCAGTGGCTGCATAGGGTGCAGATGTGTTGTGCAAATCAGAGAACCCCCCACCCCCCACCCCCTTTGGTCATGATAAATGCAGGATTGGCAGAGAAGGTGAGGCAGAGCTCTCCTATTAGAACCAGTGAAAAGTGGATACCCCAGAAAAACACCAGGATTGGCAAGACTTTACATTCAGTATGGCAAGGTCTTCAGGGCAGGTGAGATGGATAGCTGTGCCCCAACAAAGACCAGTGGAGAGGTAATATACTTTGTACCATCTAACTATTTAACTGACTCACCAACTCACTCATCCATCTACCCAAACAAAGTGGTGATTAACAAACTACAGAACAAGACAGTGATGGTAGGGAAGGAACAGAAGAAGCTTGGAAAAATGTCAAGGGCTAAATGAGGAAATAGAGAAGTTGTGGAGACTCAAGGCCTCAGCGGTCATCAGAACACTCGGAGTCTGCGCTATGACCCCCAGACTGGCAGAGTGCTCCAGCAGATCTCTGGAACAACCTCAGAGATCTCTGTCCAGAAGAACGCAGTTCCAGGAATAGCTAAGATACTCAAAACCCTGTAGCTCCCAGACCTCTGATTGAGTGTCCGAGCTTAGGGCGAGGTGGGTGTTTTATTTTTTTGCATACTGTAAAAATGTATATATTTTCAGGAGAACATGAATAATGTTTGCTAATATATACGTTTTCATAATATTAAAAACTTAAGCATGAACTGATTCAGTTTGACCACATTTCTGTGAAACGTGGGCACTGTAAACCATTCACGTAAGGTTAAATATAAAAGAAGGGAAATTAAAGATAAAATGATTGGACAGTTATTTGACCTCTTCACTTTGAACTTCCACTGGTGGTTCTGGTGGTCCTGGCAGGTGACCTTTGAGGCTGTGCGTTGGGTGTGATGATGGTGAAGGGGTTGAAGGATCCAGGGCATCTAGTCCATAGTTGGAACGGACAGCCAGTCTTACACGTGGTCTACAGAAGGCTCCGCCCTGCAGCCGTGACCTTTGCAGTGGGCTCTTCTGGGTACAGGAGGAACAGCACAGGTAACTTCACCCATGGTGCTCTGGCTTGAGGAGCTGCTTCACCTTTATCACAGGAAAAAGGCTGAGATTTCTTTCTTGCTCCTTTAGTCCTGAAGGGCAGAATGGTGCCACTTTGCATGTGTCTAGTATCTGTGTGATCTCAGCATCCAAGTGGTAAACCTTTCCACGAGGACTACATATCTATACATTTACATGCAAACAACAAAAAAGTTTGATCTGCTCATATTTGATTTTGATTCTTATCTTGTGTATCATGTTCCACATTCTCATCCAGTTAGTGTCTCATTTACATCAAAGAAAACCACTCCTTGTTTCCACACATTGTATTATACATTTAATTTTTATTAAATAAAACAAACCAGCCAAACTTAACATAATATATGTATATACATGTATAAAAAAAACTTTACCCTTTAAAGTATTTAATCTTTAATTACTTTTTTTACAACATTTACAAACTCTTTTAAAGGGTTGCTTCTCAGCCTGTTTTTAATGAGCACAGTTTTTCAAATTATTTTAACAGAAACTTTTGATTTTTTTTTTTTTTTAATTCTTTAAAGACAAATTGGTGCAACAAAGTAAAACACTTTTTCTCTTTATATTTCTTGTCTGTTTGTCTTTTCAGCTGCAAAGGCTGCTGTGAAGATGCACCCAGACTCCTCTTCCAGCCAGTTCAAATCACAGGCATGCCACTAACAAGAAAACTGCATTCAGCTTGTGTTATTAGTTATGAAACAGCCCGAAGTTTAGCTGTCGGGAGCCGTTAGAGGGCTCGGAGGGCACTGGGCGTCCAGTCGTATGGAAGGAGGTCTCTTTTGAGGTTTGACAGAGGAGGGGATGTCAGCAAACACAACTGATCGGCCGTCAGGACAGAGCAGGACGCTGGAGTCTGCCTCACACTTAGTGGTTCTGCTCGGCCACAAGGCCTCAGCTGACCTCAGGTGGAGACCAGCTGGAGGCAGGACCTCGGTGTTTACGACCGATGCTTGGCTCATCTTGATCAGCATGTCCAACGACTGCTTACGACTCTCCAGCGAAGCCCTCATCATCTTTCGTTCTCGCTTATCCTCCTCCTCTTTGTCGTTTTTCTCTTCCAGCTCGTCCTCCTCCTCCTCGATCTCTGTCGTGCTGGTTTTAAAGCTGCCGTCTTCTCTCACGCTCTGCTCACCAAGAGAGTCTGTTGAGTCCCTTTTAACCGACAGATCAAGAGGTCCGTCGGTCTGGACTGCTGTCCGCTCCAGCGCCTGATGAATGTGAGAAAGCTCACAACGGATTTTGTTCAGGTGCTCCCAGAGGTGCCGCTGGGCAGGAAGGTCCTCTTTTTCGAGGTGGGAGATCTTGTGCTCGGCCTCCTGGTACTCTTGCAGTGCCTTGGAGAGATCACTGAGGAGAGCGACCACTGACTCAGAAGCTTCTTCCTCAATTGTTCTGGTGGCGGTGGAGTCTTGACTGTTCCCGGCCGACAGAGAGGCTGTTTCACTGGTGGGACTGGCGAGGGGATGGTTGTACCACAGCTCACCTGGCCGGGTCTGAAGCTGAGCATTCTGTAAACTAGAAAGGAGAAAGAAAAACTATATTATTTTATTTGAAAACCAAAAGTGTTTCAAACAGAAAATGAAACTTCTTACAGCTTAGTGTAAATATAAAAATTAAAAATAATGCTCATGCCTTTGCGGTTAATCTCTGTTTCGCATCAAAAATCACCTTTACCTGCTTGGTAAAATAATTTTGTCGGCTGAAACAGTCTGTAAGTTCTTTAGAAGGTCCAATGTAAAACCCGTGGCTGGTTTCTTTTCCGCAGGTGCCTCATGGTTCCTCAGCGCAGCTCCTGTCCTCTTTAGCCCACAGATGGCTTTATCTTCTTTGGCCTGAATCTTTTCTGCCAACCTGTACTTCTGGTCAAGGGCGTCACTCTGAGGTGACCCCCAGCCCCCACGGGATACGAGGGGTTCTGGCTGCAAAGTAGGCGCTTTCAACGAATTGACTTTAGGCTGGAAGCCCAACAAGGTATTTGCTTCTGGACTGTTGGTGGAGGTCTTGAGAGCTTTGCCAGCCTCGCTCTGACTGGAGGCTGGTCCAAATGTGTGCTCGCACAGAAAAGGGTAGTAAAGGCGGGGGGGAATAAGAGCTCTGTCTGTGTGCGTGTTGGAGCCTGGGTGCATCAGCTGCGCAGCTGATGCCAAGAACGGAAGCTGGGCAAACTGCGCATGGGTCTGAGCAGTGACGCTGGAAGCTGCTGATGGCATCACTGAGTTCATGTAAGAGAATAAGCTTGGGCTGATGGGATAACCCACCCCGAACACTGACAGGTTGAGTCCAGTGGGGTCCTGGTAGTCCACCAGGTTTGGCGGTGGAGGGTAACAGGGGATTGAACCGCCCACTCGAGGCTGAGCACCTTCAGCTTTGGCCTTCATGTGTTTGGATGCCAGCAGGCGCCACTGCTCTGAAAGATGCCCAGGACCTGTCAGACAAGCCATTGGTAGCTTATAATGTCTCAACTGGGCCTCAACCTCTACAGAACGTGCTCGTAAGAGCTGATCTTCGAGGGACAGCACGTCAGCCATCAGGAACTCTGACTCTGGCTGTTTGCTTTTCTTAGTGGCAGCCTCTGAAGCGTCTCCTCTGACGTTGCTGGAACTTTCTTTGGTCAACCCTGTGATCTTGTCATGCTCTTTTTGTCCTCCTTCTTCATCTTCTTCTGCTACTTGGATGTCCATGCCCTCGCCATCCGTCTCCGCAGTCCTCCGTTGCCCTTGCTTCTCCTCGATGTGCATTACCTGCTCCAGCTCATCTGTGCCAGCAGCATGCAGGCCATGTGCCTGTTGGAAGGGTCGCAGCTGGTCTGGGTGCAGGATGTTGCCCTTCTTGTACGGCCAGTCAGACTCTATAAGCAGAGACAAGGAGTTCTTGCAGAGGCTGTACTTCATATGGTTGTACAGGTGGGACTTCTCCATGCAAGTGAAGGGACACTGGAAGCACTTGTAGTTGTAGGGTTTGCCCCATGGTCGGGGTATGTAGTGAGGCTTTTTCGGCTTTCGCTCCTTGTGTTTGCTGGCAGATGTCACTTTGCAAACTTCATCCTTGGACATGATTGAGGCTTTATTTAAGGAGACTACGTGATGCAAACGATTAATATTCTCAGGGAATCAAATGTTGCATCCTCTTGATGAATTCCCCACAGTGCCTATGAAACAAAAGAGACAATAAATAAAGGAGTGATGCTAACAGACTGAAGGGTTGATTTAGCTGTAATTAATATTCTTTTCCCCATTGCATATGTTGCCTTGCAATTCTGTAAAACACCTCAATAAGAAGATAGATGCACATGCACGCGTTTTATAAGAATGCACTTGTTGTCTGGATGAGCTGAGCGAGCGCTGCCACTAACCTAACTGCAGGGGAACCTGGGCTGCCCCATTCTCATTGTACCTGCCACTCCTCATTAGTTCCAATGCAGCAGGAGGCGATCTCAGGGCCCCGGGCTGGGTAGGGGGGGCTGTCACTGGGGACCATGCACCTGTGCAGGGGCTCTCACTACACTGCGTTTAGGGCATGGACCCTCGGAGGGCAGCTACAGGCACAGCGCACCCATGATGTTTTTTTTGCAGGGGACACGTAGGGATGAGAGAGAAGTTGGGGGTTTGAGGCCTGATTTCTAATGAGGGTCTGTGCCTATAGGGCGTCATTAGTGCCAGGACCGGGATCTGGGTCAGGACATGGCACATAAGTTCAACTGGTCCCCATTGCTGTCTCATTTGACTGTTTATTCATTTCGAGCCAGGTCAGTCTTGATAAGCAGCAATGAGTTTGATCATGAGATTATAACTTTCATTGATATCTTGTAATCTGTTTTAACTGGAAAATGTTTGTCTATTACATTTTTAAACTGAAGAGATTTAAACTGCATGTTTTAATTTCAGGTTAGAATATAATAACTTGTTTTAATTTGAAATGTAGATATGACTGTACCGTCATGCATGTAAATAATTTAGAACCCTTTGAGTCGACGTATAAATCCACATTTTCGCTCATTTATCTTGCTTTTTTTTTTTTTATCTGTTAACTCTAAAATATAGCTTAATTCAAATCATTGCATTCTAATGAATTAAGTGTAATCATTTTTAAGAAAATAATTTGTTAAAATACTTGTGATCTTCTTCGTCTCCGAGCCAAGCTGCAGGCTGCAGCCCCACAGAGAAGCGAGGAGAAGTTCTCTCCTCCGTTTAAAAGCTTCTTTTTTTTTTATTTTGTTTTCATTTCCTCGGGTCATTCAAAGATGAAAGTACGTGAGAAGTTTAAGCTGCAAGGTAAATAAAAAATAAAAAACTTCATCAGGTCTTTTTTTTATTTTTAACTCACAAAGACTGTGTGAAAAAGTTTTGAGTTAAAGGCCAGTGAAGCGGACACAGGTGATGGATGGGCGTTTAAACTGGGAGACAGACTAATCTATAAAGCCACAGCATGAAGGTCTGTGATGAAAGACACAGTGAGTCTAACGTAGGATGGCACGCTTGCTCTCTCTGGACTGGACCCTCACAACTGGCCCGTTAGCGGCTGCCCATTTGATTGGCTCTGCGGTGTGCCTCAGGGCTCTGACCTGAGCTTTGAGCTCATAATGGAGTCTAACAGCTGCAGCTACGAGACAATCAATAAAAATCATTTTTTACAGTACATTTTTCCTCTTCTCCTGGCCATATCTGCTCCCCTCCCCTGCTGCCCCGTATCTAAACCCTGCGGTCTTGTTTTAAGCTTTTAGGGATGTGATCAAACAAGCCGGAACGCTTGAACATGTATTGTTGCAATTAAGGAGGTTCACCACTAAAAGCTTTGACAAGCCACAACGCTTCAGAGCAAACAGGAGGGACTTTTTCCACAACAGGCATGTGCAGGGGAATAAGTTTTACACCCAATTTAGATAAAATCCTTCTGTAAATAAAGTTACCTAAGATATGAGGAGGATGAGTCGCGTCGGTCTGAAAGAGAGGATCTGGAAAAAAGGAAAAACTAAATTAATTTTCCCAAAAAAGTTCAATCTGGTCCTCTGGACATTCAAAAAAACAAAAAACAAAACAAAGCAAAAAAATATAGAAACGTTTCGTCTCTCATCCAAGAGACTTCCTCAGTCTGAGGTGCTGTTTTCAGTTCAGTCTCTTAAATATTGGGTTTTTTCTACCTGGATTATTGAGCATGCATAAGGATAAATTAATTTTTTTTTTTTTTTTACATAAAGCAAAATTAAATGCCAAGAAAGTTGGGCAAAGCATTTTAACATAATGTGTTTTTGCTATAAATATGTTGGTTACTATAAATCTAATGGATGATACTGCTGGTAAATCAGTAAGTTATAAAAAAAAAATCACATTTACCTTTTTTTAGAAGTACGAGCATGACAATTAATTTGGATTATGAAAACTATAAATGTAAATCTCATTTCTTACCATTACACATTGAATTCAACAGCAGACAAACACATTAAAAGGCCACATTAAACCTTCTTTTTTAATATAATTATTATTTTTTATTTAATCTGCCTCTGCAGCTGCCTACAAGTATGGATGGAAATGCATTCATTCATACCTAGAGAGCGTCCCGGTGTGGCTGTCTGTCACTTCTCTGCAGCAGGGCAGCGCGTCTCGCTCAAATGGGAGCGCAGGAGCGAGAGCTGAGATATATATTGACTGGGAGCACTGGCCTGAGGCGCTACAATACAGCAGCTCCCCCTCCTCTCCTACATGAAGCCCCCCGTCCTGATGTGGTCTCCACCTTCCACCCAGGACGCAGTAAAGCAACTTACAGATTATAAGTTTATGTTCAAACAGAGGTTAGAAAAAAAAAATGTTTGGCTCGTTTGTAAATCCTGGTCTGACTGTTTTAATTATTTTTTTTTTAAATAAAAGACAAAATGTTAGATTGTCACAACTTGTTCTTTTGTTTTCATTTATTACAATTTTGAGTACAGACTGGATTTATTTGGTCGTTTAATGCATTAAAATAAAATAAAATGTGATGTGAATTAGGAGAAAAGGATCTTAACATGATCATTTGTCTTTGATTTAGTATTTTAAACAATTGATGAGATTTCAGTGTTAGACTCCTTCACTAGAACTAATTTATTAAATATTGGGGTATTAATATTATGTGTTTTTAAAGCAAATTAAAATAAAGATAAAGAAATTGAACAAAATAACCATGAAGCCATAAAGTTCAGCTTTTTTTTTTTTATTAATGACCCACAACGATTTTATTTTTTTAGCTTTTTGTGACTGAACAACACAGTTATGAAATTTTGCACAAGTTACCTAACTCCACCTGCTTCATTAACAACAATCAACACACAGCTCAGATTTGTTCTCCCAATTTATTTATGCATTTTTCCCTCATTCGCCCTCTAAAATCTAATTTTACCCTCTTAGCCTTTATTTTCAGTCTCATTCTTGACTTTCGGGTAAACTCCAGGTCCTGGCTCTCTCTCCAGTGGCTGCCTGGATAGGAAGATGGCGTGCAAGCCCCTTTGAGAAATCAGTCCGTGTCCGTGTGCTGGGAAAGTCGGGGGCCCATCACGAGCCATCGGGCCTGCTGTCACTCAGAGGAGGCCAAATGGAGACTGACAGGCCACTCCATAGAGCCTAACCATCTGTGCCAAATGTGACAGCAGGGCGAAGAGGATGTCTGGTAAATCAGGAGGAATGACAGGAGTGCACTGTGACACGAGGAGGAAGTACAGAGGGAGGAGAAGCTGCAGAAACACAGAGAGATCCTGCTCTTCCTCAAGTACAGGCGCATGATGGGTCATGTCAGGGTTTTTGTGAACAAGGAGAGTAGACTTTCTCTTACAAACACTTGGGGAAAGAGTCTGTTTCTCCTGTTATGTCTAAATGTGTTGCAGGAGTGACTTCTGCAGCGCCGACGCTCCCTTTCGTCTGTCAGACGCTCCGTTCTGTTGTTTGGAGGGGACAGATCATGGAGTTTACTGCCCAATATTTATTTAGATCCGACACCATCGCTTGTAACGATTTGCTTAAACTCAAACTGAAATAGGTAAAAGAAAAAAATGTTTAGCATTTACATGTTTTAATAGAGATCAGTAAAGATGCATCAGTTATTCTGGGCCGGCTCAAGTTCGGGTTTTTACCAAAAAGAAAAACTCTAGACTGTATTTACCCGTTTTAATCTACTGGACCAAAGTTCATGCTCAATGTTCAGTCAGGTCAGCTGGACGGTTTCCTTTTTTTTTTTTTTTGTGCTGAAACATTTCATCCGTCATCCAAAGGACTTCTTCAATCTGAGCAGCCACCAAACAAAACTGATTCCCACAAACAACACACTCCATAGTGGAAGAAAAAAAAACAGTTTGCTGGTGCTAAGATGGCCCCCGAGGTCCGCTCTCTCCCTCGTCAACTCCTCTGAGACAGTCATGCCAAAGTGGCTCAAAACATCAAAGTTCATATGCAATAATCCAGGTATAAAATCCAACAGATTGGCTTCTCAGATTGAGGAAGTCCTTTGGATGAAGGACGAAACGTCTCAGCACAAGAACAAAAAAGAAACCGTCCAGATAATCTGACTGAACATTGTTGGATTTTATACCTGGATTATTGAGCATGGACTTTGGTGTTTTGAACCACTTTGGCATGACTGTTTCAGAGGAGTTGATGGGGGAGAGGGCGGGCCCCAGAGAGGGAGGGCCCTGGAGGCCATCTTAACTCCATCAAACGTTTTATTTTTTCCACTATGGAGTATGCTGTTTGGTGGATTCTCAGTTTGAAACGTCTCAGCACAAAAAAGAAAAGAAACTGTCCAGATAATCTGACTGAACATTGTTGGAATTTTCTGTACAAAATCTGACTTTTTTAAATGTCAATTTATTTATTTATTTATTTATTTGCAATCTATTAGATCCATGCTATCTTTGACTATTTTTTTTAACACTAACTCTTTTTAGTGAGTTTTCTGATCAAATAACAAAAACGTATTTGAGAGTTCAAATCCATCGAGTTGAACATGGTCAGATTTAGATGACTTTATAAAAAATGACTGATTAAATAACATTTTAAACAAACTGGTAATGGTTTGAATAAATTCATAAATCCTGCCCATAAGAGCTTTATGTAACACTTGTGTATTTGTTGTTTTATTGGAATTGTTCCAGAGGAGTCATTAATTTATTTTAAAAGTTACAAAAAAGTACAATATTTATAGCTAAACTAACTCCCTAACTTACTTACCTAGTCATTAATTATTGTGCTAGAGGAAATGAGCAATTAAATGGTAACTAATGTTTGAAGAATTAGCCTAAATTTAAGGGACTTTTTTAATCAATCAGAGTTTAAATAATTCACAAAAGAACACAAGTTTTTAAACACATCAACAACTTTTTTTATGTTTTATTGCACATCGTAATTGATTCTTGAAATCATCATTTTAAAATTCCTAATTCAGTTTTGAGTTTCCATCCTGTTGGTCTTTGTAAATTGAAATTGGTAATTATAAAACGCACATGCTACACAGACCGGAGATGTTTTTAGTTATAATTATAAAGTATTTGTCAGCATTGCATCGTGCACATGAAGCTGCAATAAACAAGCAAACCTAAAACTGTTCAAGCATTTAAATTACAAATATAAACATATCTAGTCCAAATGTCTCAGTGATGTTCATATTTGGACAAAAAGGTAATTTTATTTGCACTTTCCTACACATTTTGCCAACAAATGCACATAAATTGTTTGTTTTGTGGGTTTTGTTAAGTTTGGGTTTAATTTAATTTACCACCATTCTTTGAATTAGTCTCACAAAGGCCCAGTAAGGAATATAAAGGGTCCCTAAATTCACAAAGTTGCAACATAATTAAAGACTAAATGTAGGATTTGTTTAGTGCTAAACAGTTTTTATGTAATTTAATCATTTGCAAAACACCTTCAGATATCAACAGTTAAATATGTTATTATTGAGATGTATAATTCATATTTAACCTTTTCTAATTTTAACATACATTTCTTCTACTTTAGTCATAAACTCCATTAGCTGCCAGCCTATTGATGATGTCATTAACAGAATTGTTGACGGACCGTCTGTGATGGAAATATATTATTATTGATCTGCTTCTTGATACATTACAATATTTTATGCACTATATTATTTTACTATATTAATAACATGTATGACCCCTTTTATTAATTTAGGTCATCATGAACTGTCAGAATGAGATTACAGTGTTTTCATGTCGATATAATCATTTTGACATCTGCAGAAAGACAGTAAGAGAGTTCCTGCTTCACCGTTTAGCTTTCCTGCTTTGTGCGAGACCTTTAATGCTATGGTGGAGTCAGTCCCCCGCAGGCATCCAACGGACTTTGGTTTTGAATTGATCAGCTGAGACTTCATTTAAAATAATGATAATAATAATTAAGGGGTAAAATCTCACTGTGGAGTTGAGGGAACTGGGGATACTGGCTTGATCTGAAGGGACTGAAGTGGGTGTTTTGGTCTGACAGGATCAAAATCCTGGGCAGAATTGTTGGGGTGAGCAAACAGAGGTACTGTGTAATACCAAGAAGTTGTCAGTCCCCAGAAGTCCAACAGTAAACTGTATGAAAATAAAACATGTAAAGGGATGTGTTGATGAAATGTTTTTTGGGAAGACAATTAGGGGAATGTCTCCCTGTGGAAGCTGCAGGGAGCAGATGAAGGGCTAAATTACGTTTGCTGAGGTGGATATCAGCA